TTCAGCACAACCATTTTTACATAATAGAACCTATTTTAAATACGAAAAAAACACTATATTTTTCTAAAAGTTCGGTTTAACCACCAATTTATGAGTAGTTAAACCGAACTTTTGATAAAATATAGTGTTTTTTTCATACTTAAAATAGGTTTTTATAGGTAACAGTTGCCACGCTGAAACATTTTATCAAAAAATGGTGGTTTTTTTGTAACTTTTTAAAAATTGATGGTTAAACCGAACTTTTGGAAAAGTATAGTGCTTTTTTCGTCATTTTCCCTATATATAGGCCGGATGAAAGTAGTCAAAAATTTTTTTTTTTTTTTTCTTTTTTTACTTAACTCGAGCAGACCGTCGATGGTCTCGTTTTTTTTTAGGGTTGTAGCGAGTCGGCGAGGGAGGTTAGCGTTTTTTTTTTTTTTTCCATCGGCATTCAACAAAGAAATATGAGCACCTCGTCTAGAGAGTATTCTCCAGATTGGCTTCGTAATGCCCAGGTTTCAGTTTACCTTCATTCGTATACATGATGCTGATATATAAGTACGAATCATTGTTATCTATTATGTTTCTCTATATCTTCTAGCCTCGGTTACCACAAGTTTACGTATAATCTTTTGAAATCGTCCAAGTAACCATCCCAATTATCATCCATGTACGTTAATCAGCAAAGTTGCAGGACTATTGTTGTAAATTCCTAGAAAAATTTCATGGTTGGTACTATTTTGGATATGCGGTATCATAGGGGCTATGGTGGTTGTGCTGATGTGCTTTTTTTTTTTTTTCATTTCATAACTGATACTCTAGATGTTAATTGTGATTATGCGTCCAATAGGCATCGATCATATAGTTCTGATTCTGCCCTTGGATTTCAAGTATTTTCAGGACTTAAATCCTCAAGATTGTATAAAGAATATAGTACAAGCTGTTAGTAATGATTCAAAGATTAATGATTCTTGTAGCTAAAGATGATGTATTACTGATTTACTTGCAAATTGGGCAATGCCCTGGCAATCATGGCTGCATAATGTGCTCAGCTAGTTTCACATTGACTTTACAAGTTATTGTTGGGCTCCATCTCTATGACAGGCACCAACAACATCAATTTTGATGTTGTCCTCGAGTTCTGAATCTCTTCCGGGTGGTAGTGATGATGATACAGATGATCGGCTTCCTATAAGCTCTGTGACCAAAAAAACATCAAAAGTGAAGTCTCCAAGTAAAAATCTGAGTACGAAGAGGAAGGGGCTTGGTGAAAATGAAGGTAAGTGTGGCTATTATGTAACGTAACATTTTACATGAATCTTAAAAAAAAAGGTTATAAAAACTTGTGAAGATAAAGAAATTGCTACTTATTTGTTATTTTCTTTTTCTATATATTGTGGAGGTATTCACATTCTGATGTTTGTTATGTTATTTATACTTTTTACAATACAGGTAACAAGGGGAAAGGGGGTAAATCTCCAGAGAAAGTGAGAACCTATGAACCAGTATTAATTTATTATTATTTTTTGTAATGATTTCATTTATCCTGAAGCCAGCTGCATCTAGGTATTGTGAAAATTTTGTAATTATTTATTGGTAATCTGCTTAGTAAGCCATAAGATTACATTACCACTTGGCCTCCTTCCTTTTTAACTAGAGAGGAACTTAAAGTATTTTCTAAGATTAACAACAACACTAAACGCGTATCATCTACTCTTTACTTTCTGTAAATTTACTTAGAAGTTACATTATATGTAAGAGAGTTTTTATAAATGAAGCTGGTATAGTTAATTGTAAGTGTTATTTATGTGATCAGAAACCTAAAACACCAGTTTGGACGTTGCCATCGGATTCTGAATATGAGTTGTCTGAGCATGATCCAAAGGAGGAGGAGGAATTGAAGACGAGGCTAAAGATGGAAGAAGATATGACGGAGACACAAGGGAAACAAGGTATGCAATTAGAGTTTCCGATTAAAACAAAAAATCGTATCCTTCTTTCTCTGTTTGGTTTCTTAGGATACTGTTATACCTCTGATATTAGGCAAATAAGTTAGTTAGGGGTAATATGGGAAATCATCAAATTAAAGAGTTATCTTATTAGTGGGAGGGGCATTTTAGGCATTTTTATAGTATTTAGCTATTATGTCAGATAGTATAAGAAGAGGGCAGTGGGCAGGGAGGAGTGAAAATTGGAATTCATTCCTATTAGGAGATTGGCTATCTCGAATCAGCTAAACTATCTTCATTCTTGTAATCATTTGGTATTATCGAGTGTTTTTCGATCAATATTAGAATCTTTGATTGTTTATGTGTTATTGAATCGATTCTTATAATCCAGTTCATAACAAATACTTGTTGTTTGCATTGCTACAGATAATGATGGAGATGTAAAGGTTTTAGAAAGACAAACAACTGAGAAGCAAACAGGATCTTATGTAATCTAAATTTCAACCTGTCCCAATGATTGTTATTTTATCAGTTGATTACAACAGTACACATGTCAATGTCATTACAGATTTCATCTTCGAGGTTGCCTTTGGTGCTTGCAGATAAAGTCCAACGTTCAAAGGTATGTGTGAGTCAATGAATCTCTGCAGACTTTGGGTGTACCATGTCCTTATTTAGTAGTCTCATATCATGTAATGACACTGACACTCACGACAGTTGTTTTTTTTTTTTTTTTTTTTTGTGTTTGGCGATTTGATAGGCTCAGTAACCGGCATTTTAAGTTTTGCAGGCACTTGTGGAGTGTGAAGGCGAATCCATCGATCTAAGTGGTGATTTGGGTTCTGTTGGGAGGGTGGTTGTTTCAGATTGCCCATCTGGCAATCAGGATGTACTTTTGGATTTGAAAGGTATGGAACGCATATCATACTTTTTGTTAACTTCCATCTAATTAATACTTTAATACATTGTAGTATTTTTTATTTCAGGAACCATCTACAAAATGACAATATTACCTTCAAGAACTTTCTGTGTTGTATGTACCTACCTCCCCTAAACTTTATCATATTAATATTTATTTATTATGGCAGACATCTCTTATTCATTCTTCATCTTCAGGTTAGTTTTGGGCAATCAGAAGCCAAGGTTTGTTTTTCAATCCATTTTTTAAGGTTGAGCCGGCGATGAGTTAATTGAAATATCCTTTTTATCTGTCAGATAGAGGCAATCATGGATGACTTTATTCAGCTGAAGCCACAGTCAAATGTCTATGAAGCTGAAACCATGGTTGAAGGTGAGAGAGGAGTTGTTGTACTTGTAGGTTGTGTTTTTCATTTCCTGACTTGGCATATGCATATGTGTGTGTGGTAGGAACGCTGGAAGGATTTTCTTTTGATTCTGAAGATGAAGCTGTGAATCGTCAAACTGGCGATGAAAACAAGGGGGGTGATGCTGCTGATCCACAAACCAAAACCAATGGCAAAGGAAAAGGAAAAGCCGAGAAAACATCATCTGTATCTGTATGCCCTTCTTCCTTTTTAATATCATCATTCATCCATCATGTTTTCTTTTCTTTTGCTAAATATTTTAGAAACTCCTACTCTGGATTCAGGGAGCAGCAAAAAGGAAGGCAAAAACAACTGCTGCCAAAAAGCCACCAAAGAAGGCTACCAGGAAAGCTCCAGCTGCAAAGAAATCCAAGGCAAAAAAATGAGACGATTCTTCCTTCTTTTGTTGTAGGTTAGATTAGAGAAAGTGTGCTAGGCATTACAACTTAAGAGAAAAAGATTGTTTATATTGTAATTCTTCTACATGTCTGATTGATGATTTGTCGCACTTTTATTATGCCTACATCCTTCATATAAAATTATAAATCATATCTACTCATTACATATTTAATGTATCGATGCAAACAATAATTGTGTATCACTGCTCACTGGTGGTTTTATTAATCCCATTTTTTTTTTCTTTTATATATGGATCATTTCTATAATTTCACTATTACACTAGGACAACTCTAGTAATTTTATTTTATATATGGCTAATTTTGGTATTATATACGGAATTTTTCTCTAATTAGGTTGTTACAGGGATTACTTATGTAATATCCTTATTACACAAGAATCATTTATGTAACTTTGCCTTGCAGCTATTATAACTTTATATTTCATGCTAATATTCATTACTTTTTCTTGTCATTTTTGTCATTTAACTGACTTTTTCTTATCATTTTTGTCATTTTTCTCAAATACAAGGACTATTAGATAGTTTTATAAGGACCGTTTCTGTAGGGGTTATTGCTATAAAAGCCTCTAAATTTACGGAAAATGTTCGGTTATGCCTAATGTCCGTTTTTATGTGTATAGAAGATGAACATTGCCCTTTTTTTCCCGTTTATTGCTTTTCATCGTCAAGTGAGTTACCAAATGCCTCATTAAGCTGACATGGATGCCACATAACCACCATTACCACATCTACTTTATTAACAACGACGCCCCACCTCTTCATACCACTCCTTCGTGAAAATGTCAAGTTCTCTAGCCAAATCAAGCTTCTAAGGTGGTTCAAGATGGAGAAAGAAGAAAGTAGTTACATGTGTTTATAGAGATGCGTGTAGTTTAGTTGTTGCACGAACAACTAATAACTATGGGAAAAAAAAATCAAAGGTGCCCTATTTACCAACCAGGTAAACAACAGAAATTTGATATACTTTTTAATTTTCTTGAGAATCCCCCTAAAAAGGTATGTAATTTCTCCCAATTATTGTTTGTTGTAGGCGGAAGGAGAGGACTACGGTTTTTTCAAATGGTAAGAAGAAGAAAATGGAAAAAACTCAAACAATCACCACTTTCAATCAAAAAACCACCGTCTCACATAAAGGAGGGAAAGTTGAAGGTCTTGCTAGAAGTAAGTGTAGGTTGTTAGTTCTTATTTTGTTCATGTTGACGGTAGTAGTTTTGAAGATGTAAAATATTTGGGAAAGTTTAGAATGGCCATGTAATTGTTCTTTTGGTATGAACTTATATAGTACTTGCAGAAATTATTTATGAAATTGAAAATATTTATGAAATTGTTTTAGAAATGGTATATAGTTGATTGCTCAAATGGTAAAGTATAATGTTGAAATTGGTAAACAATAAAGGAAAAATGGTACAATGCAAAGTAACATGCTCAACTGGTATAATGCAAAGTAGCATGTTGTAATGGTAAAGGCAAAGTATAATGTTGTAATGGTAAATGCAAAGTATAATGTTGTAATGGTAAATGCATAGTAGAATGTTGTAATGGCCAGTTGTACAATGCAAAATACAATGTTGTAATGATAAAAGGCAAAGTATAATGGTATAATGAACAAACGATCAATTGTAAATGTAAACATAACATAACATAATTGGGGGGGGAGGGGGGGGGGGAATTACATAAGAATTCATTACATCATCAAAGGTTTCCATTACAAAAGACTACTGTAACGACCCAAAAATCGAGGGTAAAATTTCATTTTTAATATAGCTAAAACATTGATACCATTTATTTCAAACATTTCAAATCATCATTAAGTACAACAATTCTCAGAGTTCATCCCAAAATCATTCATTGCGGAAATCATAGGTGTGTGCACTTCGATCAATCCGAGCTCTTCTTTTCCAAATCGATGATACCTGAAACCAAAACTGTAAACCGTAAGCACAAAGCTTAGTGAGTCCCCCAGAGCATACCCCACACACAATCCACATAACACATACCATATCAACTATAAAAGCTATCTCTACCACATACCACATATCATATTAGCTGTAAAAGCTATCTCTACCACATAAGCCATGCATACAAATATATAAGGAAGCCATGGAAACTCTCCAGGGTCTTACACCTAATGCCACGGGAACCCCCACGTGGTCTTATCTGCCATGGGAACCCCCACATGGTCTTCCTGCCTTGGGAACCCCCACAAGGTCTTCCTGCCTTGGGAACCCCTACAAGGTCTTCACTACCAAACAAGACATAATGCAAACTATACAAGCAGATACATTAGGATGCCATGGAAACCCTCCAAGGTCTTATACCAAATGCCACGGGAACCCCCTCGCGGTCTTCCATGAAAATGTCATACTATCATAACGTATAATCAATCAACAATCCGCATCACATAAAATGGGACGGCCTTGGTGCCTTAGACCTATTGGTATGGTGAGAAGACTCACCTCTCGGATGCTGAACTGACAAGCTA